TGGGCAAGACAGAAGTCTGATAGGAAGAGAGGAGGAAGAGGGGAAAGAGTATTTGCTAATATGGAGAAATAAGTCATCTATTTCAGAGCTGAGATAAGGTCACACAGTCCTAGGTAGTAGCTGGTAACATTAAAAGGAGGGAAGATTGAATAAATTAAATATCCAGTAAAATCATGTATCAAGAAACATTGGGACCATCTGGGATTCAATCTCAGGCTCTATGGACTCCACTGCTCATGCTCCTTAACATCATACAACATCCTATTATAGGAAGAGTTCAAACAAGTTCAAACCCTGGATTCATTAGAGGCAAGCATGACCTTCAGCCCCTGCCCCATGTGTCCTATCGGTTTGTTGGTGGCTGCAGATACCCTGATAGAGTTGTTTTTCTCCCACACCAAAGTAGAGAGTGGGAGAATAGAGAAAAGAGAGCACTGGTATTTGGAGAACAGTGGATAATGGCACCCTCTCCTTCAGAGCCCTTAATTCTTTTGTCTTGTGAAAGCTTCATAGACAAATGAGAAAACAGCTCTGCAGAAGCAAGGGGAGTTACTCTGGAACTGTTGGGCTTTAAAAGAAACATCCTCATAGCAGCCTGGGGACGGTTCAGAACAGATACACCATGATACTCAAAAGGCCAAGAGGCACTGTTGAGGGTCATATCCTGAACTGTGCCTCTCCACATACAACTTTTCTTTGTGGGGACCTGACTGGGAACATTTAAGCACCAGGTCCCTCCATGTCTTCTTTGCTTTACTACTTTGGATTGGGCTTTACTACTTTGGATTTACATCTTTGGACAGAGAGAAAGCTGTCAGGGTCTGCCTGGAAAGGAAAATGAAGACTCACTCCTATATCCTCCATGTGTGCAGAATAACCTACTGATGAAATAATAATGGTGAGGAAGTTCATACAAAGCTCTGAATTTGAGCATGCATTTGAGAGATGTGGTCCAGTCACAAGTATACGACTTGGAAAAATCAGAGAGAAATGCTCCACAGACAGAATCCACCATAGGGATTAAGAGGTCATTCCAACCACGGAAATGAGGGATAAGATTTGTGTGTGTGTGTGTGTGTGTGTGTGTGTGTGTGTGTGTGCACGTTTGGAAAGGGGTGGTGGTTCCTGGTCATCAAATTTTGAATGAGAATCCCCCAACTTACTTGCACACGATGAAAATTTGAGGATCTTAGCCCAAAGATGAAAATCTTGACATGAAGTCTAGAAACTTTTCTTATTAAACTCTCCAGGAGATTCTTGTTTGGCTAGTTTCCATCCAGAAGATATTCCAACTGTTCCCAATTGCATCAGAAATTGGGCTGGTAACTTGTCTGCTGGGTTGCTTTAGAAAGGCCATCAATGCCTTCTGAATTCTGTGTCCACAATTTTACACCAAGAATCATTAGATTCATACCAATGTCACCAGATGGTTAGGAGGATTCAATGAGAATGCTTAAATGAGGCATTTAAAAAGGATTTTTATTAAATCTCAATCATTTCTGTTTGGGGAAGGGAAACTGTATCTCATGGTCCTGTACTTGGTGCAGCCAGAGGCCAGGTACAGGAAATTGGTGTGTAGCTGGTATGGCCCCATTCTGGACAGACAGAACAACACTTCTCTTGACAGTTTTTAAGCTCTTGTGTGTGATCTCTCTCTCTCTCTCTCTCTCTCTCTCTCTCTCTCTCTCCATGTGTGTGTGTGGGGGGGGATGCTGCTAACTCATGCCTCTTCTCCTCTTCCTTTCCATTCTCTTGATAAACTACCTCAAATATCCCATTTATATGGCCCTTTATCTTTTTGTAAAAAGACTCCCAGTTTCTGAGAAAATCCAAGCTCTCTCATGGGGTAACCCCACCCTGAAAAGGGATACTCAGTCAACCTTGGGAAAGCAGCTTTATTTCTTTCCATGCTTTCAGATGGTTTTGGTAGGGCATAGGCTCTACCAGAGCTGTGTCCCCACCCCACCCCACACCAACAAAAAAAAAGTTATTGGATGCATATTGTTTTAATGCAGCACATAATTACAAAAACTGTTCTGGAAATCTGTATGTTTTATCTGTGCTTTATTATACCCAGAATATTCCCCAATTCTTTTTCTTCTACAAGAACCAGCTTAAAATATATTTTGGCGTCCTTTATGTCATCTTGAAATTGAATAGCCAATTCTTACTGTAATGAAAATACTTATGCTCCAGCCCAGTGATATACAACACCACACTCTAATTACGACTGTGCTTTAATTAACCTGAATTGAAGAGTGTTATCATTAAACTGCTGGTAACTTTGAGTTATGGCTTTTCTTTAATTTAAAGTAGAAAACACAGATAATTAAGCCTCCAGATAATCAAATGCTTGAGGAGAGCTTCAATGTTTTGGGATGTTCCTAAATCTCATTAAATGTCCTTTCTTTATTGATTATTTCCACCTCTGCTGTATCATTGTGTTAAACGAATAACAGCACAAAGTTGAACACATTCTCACACACATCAGAAGTTTGTGTATGTGTGTATGTGTGTGTGTTCCAGAATCTGTACTGAACAAATATTAAATTTTCTGATAACAAAATGGCTGAGGGATTTTCACTTCCTTGGGATAAACTATTTTGGAGCGGGCCATACACAGTGATGGTCAGGTTTACTACTGGCTCTCTGCTCAGGGGTCATTCCTGGTAGGACTCAGGGGGCTACATGTTGTGCTGGGGATTAAACCATGGCCAGACATGTGCAAGGCAAGTGCTCTGTCTACGATACTAGCTCTCTGGTCCAAGTTCTAAACATAAAAATCAACCAACAAGTTCTAAAGACAAAAATCAACCTGACTCCTGCATTTGGCCCAGAAGTGTTGTGGAGCTTATAACACTCAGTATGTCAAGGTTGGGGACCAGATCCAGGGTATCAGTACAAATCTGGGTGAACACACCCTTGGAAGGTCTACACTGTGTCCTTCCTGACAGCAAACTGGAGCTGTGCTGACTGCAATGGATTTTCAAAAGAAACAGGGTATCTAGCTTTCATATATGATACCACTATTTTGAAACACTATCCATACACTTTTAAAAAACTAAATACCAGGGAAGGCAAATGTGAGTCCAATCTACCCTGCTGGGATCCTAACCCCCATTTCCAGGAGTACAGTTCTACCCACTTTTAAGGCTCAAACTCTTAAATATGAGCATCTGGGCTCTCAGGAGGAGACAATAGGAAGCTGAGAGAGCCAGGTTCAATCACCAAAGAGTTCAGGTTTCAATCCCCAAAGGGTTGCTAATTCCTTAGTCCCATCCAGGATGAAGAGCTATGCCTGCTTGTGTGCGCTCAGAGAACCCTGCGTTCCACAAAGGCAGCTTCCTGGGCTGCTCTTAGGATCATTTTCTTCTGTAGGTCCTGAACTTCCAGGACATTCTGTCCTAAATTCCAAGGTGAAGAGTATCCCTCAGACAGCCCCTCAGTGTTTCTGAACCAAGGAGCTTCCTTCTGGGGCAGAGTGAGAAATGGCTCTGACAGAAGGGAACACACAAGGGTGTTACAATATGGCATCCATTGCCAGAAAACGACCCTTTCTGAATCAATTACTAGTCACTTTTCCAGCCCATTTAGCATTTAAACTTTCTTGTAGAAGCAGTGTGAGATATATCAGTAAACAGCCAAACCATTTGCCATCACTTGAGGTCTGGGCCCTGGGACAGAACACATCTGCTGTGCTTCCCCAGCGGGAGTCTCCAAGTAAACACCAAGTTACTGGCTGCTCCATTCCCTCCACTGGGCCCAGAACAAAACACCAACGAGACAAAGAAGCCTGAGAGCCCCTGGGACTATCCTTTTTGCACCTCTCTTGAAAGAAGGTGAGTTTAGTTTGTAGGAAGAGCAGGGAGACAGTTTTTTCCCCCCATTCCAATGGGTTACGAAATTTCCTTTACTTCCCAGTGTTTTTGTTTGTTTGGGATTTGTTTTGCTTGAGCCATACCTGCAAGTGCTCAGGGCTTGCTCCTGGATCTTCACTCCTGGCAGTGTTCAAAGGACCATATGGGTGCAGGAGTTTGAACCCCAGCTAGATGTGTGCAATGCAAGTGCCCTGCTTGATGTACTATTACTCAGGTCTCTGTTTCATTTTCAATTTTGGAGCCAAACCTGGCTTGCTCCTGGCTCTGCACTCAGGAATCACTCCTGGTATTGCCCAGGGGGCCACACGGATTACAGAGTATCAAACCCAGGTCATGTACATGCAAAGCAAGTACCTTGCCCACCGTAATATCTCTCTGGTCCCCAAACTTCCTAGTTTTTAATCAGAGTTTGAGTATCCTTATCTGGGGTGTCAAAGGATCAGGCTTCTTGGTTTAGCATTTTCTGGGACTTATACAATTACCACAAGGGACAAAGCCCTTATCTGACTTCTGGGAGACCTGATGCTCCTGAGACCACCTCCTCTTAGGTAAGCACTTACTCAACCAAGAGCAGCCATTGAAGGCTGGGACTCATCTTTCTGCATCAACAAATGGAGACCCTGAGTCTCCTTTGTGTTAGAACACACCAGTCACTCATGACAGGAGTTAAATTGCTGAGACTTTTTCAAGCCTTTTCCCATAAGTTTGGTTCCACACTTTCTTCATTAGTCCTGAAAGCATCTCATCAGTGGCTTCTGTAATGTGTCTATGACCCAACTTGATTGAGAGATAAAAGTTCCTCTCATTAAGGAGTGGAAGATTTGCTTTTGCCCTAGTAAAATCTGAGATATTTTACTCACACCTTTACATTACAGATGCATGACTGAAGACATGAGAAAAGCTACAGTTCATAAATGAGTACAAACCATGGAATGAATCTTGATCCAGCAGGATCAGAAAGACAGAAACTTTCTAAACACCCACCTCTGTTTTAGAGCACCAAGTGAGCACACAGGAACCCTTGTGAGTACTCAGGGGCCTGACTCTTGGGCAAAGGTGTGTGTATTTTCTGCAAGAAGTATATTAAGTATTCCCGAGAATTGAAGGTGCATGGTCACTTACTCACAAACAGTAGGGAAGGACAGACCCACGAAGGCACTGGAAAGATATTCTGTGTACATTTCATTTGAAACTCCTTCCAAATAGTATTTCTGCCACGTGTCTTCCTCAATCTAAAGGAGAAGAACACAGAAAGAAGATTTAAGGTACAAAGTAGGCTGCAAAAGAGAATTATATAATTGGCAGACGAAAATGAATGCACAGCCCTGGTGTTGGCGGCAGCCTCCTTTCCCAACCAGGAAATTGATCCCATTTTCCACATGGAGCTTTCCATGACTCTAAACTCATGTACTTGACATAGGCACCCTCTGAAGCACTACTTTGTTCTTAACCTACATGATTCGCGTGGATTTGGAAGCATGGGAATCTGCCACAGTATCTGCTGAGGCAGCAAATACATAGAAATGTTTTCAAGACCAATTTTTCAGAGGTCAAAATTTTTTAAAGTACATAGCTATAAAGATTGAAAAATCTAAGTATTAATAATAAATAAACTAGTATACTAAAATATATACAAATGTCATTTTTGTTCAAAATGGTTGAAAATCACTGCAAATGGCATATTTATGCATGATATAACGAAATGAATAAAATTAATGAAAATTATTATTTACTTATATAGAAAGTATGTCTAAAATATATTACTGGGGCATGGTGCCACCAGCAGCTCCACCTGTACCAGCAAGGCGAGTACATCAGCAGCCCAATGGTGCCTTCAGATTTCCAGATACCCCAAAATTGCTGCTGTGCCTTTGGCCAAGTTTACCAAGAAATTAAATGGCCAAAAGTTTAATTTTGGCAAAACAACCTTCGGCTCAGCTATATAAGCTCATTTATTGACCTTATTTCAGAGACCCATAAATCTCGAAAGAGATCAAAAGACGCAGTTAGGGCCTGTAGTGTGGAGGTAGGCTGGAACCCATGACTGAGAGCTGTAGGCCCTCTTGGATCAGGACTGGATGTCCTCCTCCCAGGTACCCAGTACTTTTCCAGTAGCTTGGCAGTCACACCCACAAGTTGCCCCCAGCACCATGTAATCTCATCAAGACCCAGGGAGTATAAACTGAAACTCCCAAAAGAGAAGGACACAGAATTTCCTGACTCTGTGCCAGGCTGTCTTCACGGGGGCACCTCAGAATGGGGTGGGTTGAGTCTCCCTCCCTGCCCGAAGCAGAACCCCGGCAGCCGAAAACCTCCAGAACCCAATCGCTGCCATGAACAAGGTCACTCTCGACATGCTTGGACAAGCCTCAGCCAAGAGGGGATCAGCCTCAGCCAAGAGAGGACGAGCCTCACCCAAGACGGGATGGACCTCACCAGAGAGCAGACCAGCAGAAAAACCCAGGTATGTGGGAACGCGTGACCCATGACTGAGATCTCCAAGCCCTCTCGGATCAGGACTGGGCCTCCTTCCCCGTGCTCCCCAGTTTTCCAGAAGCTTGGCAGTCACATGCACAAACTGACCCGCACCCCTCACCCAATGTCATGTAATCTCATCAACAGCCAAGACCAGGGACTATAAACTAAAGCTCCTGGAAGAGAATGACACAGAATTTCCTGGACATTATATTCTATCCATAATAAACAATACAAAACAAATCGCCTAGCATTGCTTTTTTGGCAGGTTTGAGTGGTGGTGAGACTGGTGTGAAATATCGAATGTAACCAAAGAAGAGAGACAGTATGGGGGAAATTGTCTGCCACACAGGCAGGGGAAGGGTTTGAATGGCAGTTGGGGTGTGGGGAATACTGGGAATTTTGGTGGTGGAAAATGTGCACTGGTGAAGGGATGGGTGTTTGATGATTGTATGACCGAAGCTCAAACATGAAAGCTTTGTAACTATATCTCACGGTAAATCAAAGAAAAGGGGTAAAATAATAATAATAATAAAATAAAATTAACATTCAGAATAGAATAAATAAAAAAGTAATGTGGAGTGCATGCCCAATTCAATCAGCTTAATCAATGGCTGAATAAATAGCAGTATTTCTACATTATAAAATAAAATAAAAATCATATTACAAAATTCTTCTGTGAACAAATTAGTAGACATTTGTATGAACTAACTAGTTTAGTATTTTACTTTAAAAATACCTACAACACAATTATTTGTAAAGCCATAAGAAAGTCTAGAAAGCCTTACACCTAAACACAAATGGTTAGGATCTCAGTGGTAGAATACTTTTTCTCTACAGATTTCTGTTTTGTCTGAGGCTTTCATATGAGCAAATACAGGTTACAATGAAAAAATATATTATTTTACTGTGTGGAGATAAAAAACTAGAGTTTTTTCTTTCCACCCCAAACTTGAATATTACAAAATATTTAACTAGTTTTGAAGAAGTTTAACCTCAAATTTCATTCAAAAATGTTTTTCCTAATAAATCAAGTTCAACTGGTTTTCCCAACTACTTTATTCTAGGTATCTCTGAGAGTATTTTGCCCTGGAGTCAATGTTTTAAAGTTACAAAGTGCAAAACAACACGAATGTTGCCCTTGAGGATGACAAGATGGCATGGCTCTCTGAAGGCAAGCTGGCTTTTTGATTCTTGGTGTCTGTAGGCTGCTACTCTGAGGTTCTCCCATTGAATACTGGGTTCTGGAGTTACGAGAGGGACTTTCTAGCCAATAGGAAGAGATCCTTTGTATCTGCTTGTGCGGATGCTGAATTAAAGTGTACCTGTCTATCATTTCTATCTCGAATATCTAGCATCTATCTTGCCTACCACCGAACCAACAGTTAACTTGGAAAGTAGTGCTTAAAGCTGAGAGTTTTGGAAGCAATGGGAAATACAGCCTGACCTTCTACTCAGTGATACTTGGAATACAAAAGGCAGGGATAATTTAGAAATAAATTGAATGCTCTCTGTTTCTCTGCTATTTGTCTGCTTTGTGCTCAGTCTGGATGATTAGATTATGTGGGGTAACCTCATTAGTTTCAGCTTCTTCTAACCTACTCCCACACATTAGATATTAGCTGTGCAATGCTGCTGGGGATGGGTTGTTTATCTAGAAATTGGTCTTCCCCAGAGTGTTTTTTTAAAGGCACTCAGCCATTTCTATTGCTAAATCATATGATTTTTAAAATTAACTGCAATGAGTTTAGCTGAGCGCAAACTTTTTAATTTCCCCAAATTATAAGATTTCAACATTTTTTCAAATAAAATATATGACTTTATAAGCAAATACCATTAATTCTAAGTAATTTGAAGAAATCTAATCTGCATTAGTAAATAATTTGAGATATATAATATTATGGGCACTATATGATCATAATTTGTTTCATCAGGGTTTATGAATTTACTATGCCAGGGATTATGAACTTCAAATCTGTTTCAGTAAAATTTAATGGGAAAAATAGTATTCTTGAAATAGAGTAACTCAATCTACTCTTTTAGAAGAGATGTTCCCTTAATATTATGTTGTTTATATTGCTAATTTAAATGCTACCCTTGATTTAATTAATAATAATGCACTTTTCTTTTAAAAATTATTGACTGTTGACTATATTTTTGACATGGTTATTTTAGCTATTATATTCGAATGTTTATATTACCTAACAGAATTGCTCTTGTACCAAATTATACTATAGATTAATTATTAAACTCTTTAAAAGCAGGAACAATATTATTCAAGATGGTTTTAAAGTTAGCAAAATTGTTTCATTGTCTGATTCATATATTTAGCAAACACTTATTGAAAATAATCTATACCTTAGTACCAGTCCTAGTTTTTATTAAATCTTACTAAACTGGTAATTACTTTCCCACATTTTCTTCTTTAGAAATATACCTGACTAGATATATTACTTTTACTGATTTTCCACCATATTTATTTTTAGGTAAGTTTTCCTTTGTGGCTACTCTGAAGTACATAAAGATTTAAAATCAAATAACTGGAAGAAACATACAGAATTCTTCTCAACAGCAAAGGTCCTCTTCCACATCCATATATAGATTCTCAGATGATATTTACAAAGCTAGACATAGCATCATTGAATGGACTGTTTAAATGCTGAGGAGTTTAAATTCATGACCACAGTCCTTTGTTTAAGATTTCCACAACTTAAACATTATTTATATATTGATAAATGAACGTTTTAAAGTTTCTGATAAAGGTGTCCCCTACCTACACCAAAAAAAAGTAACTAAAAATTCCTAAAATGACTAAAAGAGTAAATTTTATGTCACTACAATTAAAGATTTTAAAAACCACATTTGCATAAAATAGGAGATATAATCAGTAATGGTAATTAAGATGGATATCCTATAATCCTTAAGGGCAAGATGGCAAGTTGTGATAGAACCCTGTCATATGCTATCTTCACATGTGTTGTCAATGTATTTTTAACTGCAATGTGAATACACACTTTCCAATTTTTTTAAAAAAGTGAAGGAATGCAACTGAAATGACTAAGGAAAAGGTGCCAAAATTAATTTGCCAGCCATTCAGCAATCAGCCATAGGCAAAACATTTCTGGAGGCAGCAATTTCTCTTCTGGCTGTCACATCAAACTTCAGGTGTTTTAGAAGAGTGTCTGGCAAAGATGGGCAGGTGATATGCTGTGGGTCCTTATTCATCACTGGATCTTCCATGAGAAAAGAAATTAAGCCACAGGACAGGCTCCTGTATACTTCTCCTTGTCTTATTTGCCCTTCATTTTCAGTTTTCCAGGCAGTTGAATTCAATTTCCCTAGGCAATAGTTTTTTACCAATGTGGGCAGACAGTTCCACTATCACAGCTCCCTTCCTGGAAACATCAGTTGTGGCTCCGGGGCAGACACACCTTCCTGATTCCAAGCTGTACCTATGTTACTAATGGTGGGTTCATAATGGAGCTTTCATTATCTTATATGTTCTCTGATTAGAGTGAAATGGTGTTTTCTTAACACTAACAACCTAGTGAATGTAAAAAATCCACCAACCTGGACAGAGTATGTTAACAACTTCTGTGATTTTTTTGTTTCCAGAAAAGAGACTGAAAAACTGTTTTTGATTGTAACCAAATAAATTAACAAAAGTCTATCCTTACCTCCATAATCATAAATATAATCCCCCAAGTGATCATATACTAAATATTATTTAATTGAAAATAAGTACATTGTTTTAATC